ACAATGAAATCAATCTTCAAATACAACTTTAAAAAAAGAGAGAGATTTAACTTCTCTTTGATTTTCTTTTGTTGGTCATTTTGGTGGTACAGGGGATTGAACCCAGGTCCTTGTACATGCTAGGCAGTGCTCTTTACCCCTGAGCTACACCCTAAGGCCCCTTTTCAAAAGCAATTTTATTTTGGCTTAGTTGTCCATGCTGGCTTTGAACTTGCAATCCTCCTTCCTCAGCCTTCTGAATAGCTGGGATTCCAGGCATGTGCCATCAGGCCAACCTCTCTTCGATTTTTAATAGTTTTGATAGATATAAAATGTGTTCTTTTTATTATTTTAATTTTAATTTATTTAGCTATTTATTTATTTAGCTTTTAGTATGTGAAAAGATTATGGATGAAAAGAAAACAAAAAAGGCAAAATTTGAAGACATCTCAGAAATCATTCAAAATAAAAAGCCATGATGATTAGTCAATAATTTCTAAGAGAAAAATTAATAGGTCCTGTTCTGTTTCATGCCTGTTCTTTTCCATGTTGTTATATTTGTTCCTCTGCCATATGCAAAATTAGAAAAACTTTGGACAGCCAGGCACAGTGGTGCATGCCTATAATCTCAGTGGCTCAGGAGGCTGAGGCAGGAGTATGGTGAATTCAAAGTCAGTCTTAACAACTTAGCAAGGCACTTAACAACTCATCAAAATCCTGTCTCTAAATAAAATATAGAAAAAGGGCTGAGGAAGTTGCTCAGTGGGCAAGTGCCCTTGAGTTCAATCCTCAGTACCAAAAAAGAAAAAAAGAAAAGAAAAACTCTGGATAACAATTTCTTTACAAAAATCAAAGAATTTTTTAGCTAAATGTGTCCTTAAGGATCATCTGGTTTAACCTCTCATTTTGTATCTGATTAAATAAAAACTCAGTAAGATTCAAATTGTGTTAAGATTTGCATCTAGTCCTAAGTGCACTAAAATGTAATAAGATCATTTTCTTAACCATATCTTGAAGGCTCAAGGAAAAGGAAATTGAAAAAGAGAATAATTTATAACAGCCAAGAGAATCAGTAGATACCTTTATTTTTTTTTTCTTTTTTTAAAATTTTTATTATTGGTTGTCCAAAACATTACATAGTTCTTGACATATCATATTTCACACATTTGATTCAAGTGGGTTATGAACTCCCATTTTTACCCGTATACAGACTGCAGAATCACATCGATTACACATCCACTGTTTTACATATTGCCATACTAGTGTATGTTGTATTCTTTTTTTTTTTAAATTTTTTATTGTTGACTGTTCAAAACATTACATAGTTCTTGATATATCATATTTCACAATTTGATTCAAGTGGGTTATGAGCTCCCATTTTTACCCCATATACAGATTGCAGAATCACATCAGTTACACATCCATTGATTTACATATTGCCATACTAGTGTCTGTTGTATTCTGCTGCCTTTCCTATACCTTTAGAGCTGACAAGTCCAAACAAAATATTCACTCCTGCCTCATTCCCAGCATTCCACCGTGGGACAGGGAGGTGAAAGAAAAGGAAGCAGGCAACTCTAGGTATCTCCCTACCTTGGAGTTGATGTTCCAATGTTTCCCAACTTAGAGAAAGTTCTTCAAACCCTCTCAACTTAGCTTCACTTTGTTTTCCTGCCCTGTAATTTCCTTTTTCAGAATGAATTACAAAGAGGTGTATCTGTTCCTTTGGGGGATTATGGAAATCCTAAACCTCCTCAAAGAATTGATCTGGGCTTCATAGCTTCAACAGGGTAATCACAATATCAGGCAGTATATTTTCCAAAATTTGGCTCATACAGTCTTAATATTACTCCATTGCAGTGGAAAAGTGCTTCAATTGGAAACTATGCATTGTCAAGAGTAGAGGACACCCCTCTGTGTTACTTGCTTGTATGGCAACTATTTTACAATTTTATAAATGATTTATAACTGGTAGTTATGCAAAACACTTGTTGTTTATAGACATCAAGTTGGAGGGGTAGAGGCTTATTATGGTTTGGATGTGAAATGTCCCCCAGAAGCCATTTGCTAAAGGTTTGGTCTCCAACCTATGGTGCTATCGGGAGGTGGTGGAAACTTCAGGAGGCAGGGCTTAGTTGGAAGAGGTGGACCACTGGGTGCATGCTCTTTCAGGGTATGTTTTGTCCCTGGTCTCTTCCTCTTACTCTCTTTGCTTCCTGGGCACCATGAGGTGAGCACCTTTGCTCTAGCATACCCTCCCCACCATGATGTTCTACCTCACCATAGTCCCAGAAACAACAGAACCAAGTGACCATGGACTTAAACTATGATGGAAAATAAATCTTTTCACTTTAAGTTAATTTTTCTCAAATATTTTGTTACAGAAATGGAAAGCTAACACAAGGTTCAGTAAACTGTGAAAAACTCAGTGATCTCACTTTGCAGATTCATTTCAATATTCTTCATCTGTAACTGTGTCTGTTCTTTAGATTCTCCTTTGAATTGAACCTTAGTATCTTCCTCATTAATGAGTCAAAAAAAATCCTTTAACATACATTTATTTTTGCATAGGAGAATCCTGAAGTTATTTATCATTTAAAAACTTACCTTTTAACATAATATATGGTATCTTAAAACATGAGTACTTTTTGTTACATGAAGTCTAGTTTAAGTCTCATTTTTCCATTAGCATGAAGAATGGAGAATATTAAATCTGTGATTCCCTTCTCCCAGCATGATATTTATAACCACATGTGTGTCTATGTATTCACACACATACACAGGCACACACTCACAAAATACACATGCATATATACACAATTCCCCAAGATAAACAATATGATTAGCCATAAAGGAGTCCAAAATTTATATACAAGAAGAAATTTTTTTTAATGCAATAAAGGCACAGTTCTGATGATCCATCAGTCAGAACATGTGCTATCTCACTTGGTTTATATTTTAGCTACTTCAGGTTACTTCTCCCACATTCAGGAATTCTTCAAGAATGTAGAGTATGTGGCTTTCCTCTATACTGTGATTTCTCTAACTTGGCACTATTAAAATTTTGGTCCAAAAGATTCTTTGCTGAGGGCACTCTCCTTGGTACTGTAGGATGTTTAATAGCATTCCTGACCTCTATTCACTAGATGCTAGTGGCAACCCCCACCCCCAAGCCAAATGGCTCCAGACTTTTCCAGTTGTCATGGGGGTCAAAATAATTCCCAGTTTTGAGAACTACTGATTTATGTTATTAAAGTTGTCCTAAGACAACTCCTTCCAGAGTAAATGGAGAATCTCCCCAAAGATGAGTGAATGTACCCAGTGAATATGTATCAGCATGGATGGGTCTCCATGAGTGACCATTGCAAGTTACAGAATGCTTTATACAGCATGATTGTATTATGTAAATCTTAAAATCACAAAAATTATAATTTATATTGCACAAGGCCCTGGGTTAAATCCCCAGCACCACGAAATATACATATGGAGTGAAATCATAAAAGCATGAACATGAAGAATATACATCAGTTAATTGCCTTTGAGAAAAGAGGGAGTAAATTAGGACAGGTTAAGTAAGATTGCAAAAGAAAATTCAACTGTTTCTATAATGTTTTGCTTATTTTTTAAAAGAGGTCTAAAATAAATACTGAAAAATATTATCATGTTTTTCATTCCAGCTATTGCATATATGGATATTATGTTACTCTATAAACTTTACTGCAGTTTTGGGGGAAATCCATAATAATATGTGAAAAATACAGCTTAAATTTCACATAATGTTAATGCTGTAATTTATTTTTCTTTTCTTTTTTTACAATACTTGTGTTTGAAGCAAGAATTTGTGCATGTTAGGCAAGTATCCTATCACATTTCTAGCCCCAGATTTCAGATATCTACTATTTTATATTATTCATACTACTACTTGCCTTCACGCTTATAGCATTTTTGTTTGTTTATTGTGGTACCAGGGGTTTTAACCAGGGGTGCTCTACCACTGAGCTACATCACCAGTCATTTTTTTAAATTTTTTTAATTTTATGACAGGGTCTTTCTAAGTTGCTGAGGCTGAACTTGAACTTATGATCTCCTGCCTCTGCCTACTGAGTTGCTGAGATGACAGTCATAAGCCACGATTCCAGGCTGAGTTGTCATTGTTTTACAGACCATTTTCCTGGCTCAGACTCTAATGATTACTATAATATTAATGCTCTCATATTTGTAGTGCTTTATCTTTTTCCAGTACTCTTGAAGAGGCAACTTCTTCTGAAGATGTTTCTTTCGTGGTGCTGGGGATTTAACCCAGGGCCTTGTGCATGTAAGGCAAACACTCTACCAACTATATCCCCAGCCCCCTATCTTTTTATCTGTTAATAGCTGCAACCTGCTAGTTTCTGCTTCTGTAATCATGCTTGCTCAACAGCTATGGCAGGAACCAGACCTGCCTGGAGAAAGGGAGAAACATGAAAGTTACTTGCATAAGAAAGTCGTGAACCCTGAAGTCTGTTCTGTATAAAAAATAGTAAAAACAAATGACTTTGCTCAGCCTTTGGAAAAAACTCCACTGAGCCTGCATCAGTGCTAAATAAACCTTTGTCTTCTACAACTCAAGTGCTACTTGTCTCTTTCCAGTGCCATAATTTTCCGTGACACCCTTACATCTATCTTCTCATTTTATATTCACAAGGTCTCTTGCCACCAGCCTTATTGTTGACTACATTTACCATATAAATATATAAAAAGTTTTCTATGAGCACTTCTTCATTGGCATCTACCTTAAACTTGAATTACCCGAGATGCTGACCCCAAGACATCAGATACTAACATAAGCTGTTTATTTAGGAAGTGATCCCACAAAGCACTCGTAGGGGAACTGAGACAAGAAAGACAAGGAAGTGAATAAATGATATGCTACAGAGCAGGTTACATTAGAGTGTTGTTAAGGACCAATACTGCTCATTTGTTTACACATTGGCTGTGGTTTTCATGATACAAAGGCAGAATTAAGTAATAGTGACACAAGATTGCAAAAACAAAAATATTTATTATCAGTCAGTTTGCTGACCTCCACTCTATTCCATAAACCTGGGAGAAAACTTTCTGTGTTTGAGAGTTTTGAAAACCAGTATGCAAGAAGGAAAATGTTAATTATTACTCAGAAACATTCCATTTTTATGAGGCATTTTAGAAGCAAAATAGTACTTTCAAAATCATTTTTCATAAGAACAAATATTGACAATTTGCTCTAAGAAATAGATGAAGATCCAAGAAGAAACCTGAGGCAATTACATCTCTATTGTGGAATTAATTATAAATACCTAGTTCAGACATAGAAAATGGTACTTGTTTATTGTGCTAAGCCCCAACTAATTAAGAATTATAGTGGTACAGCCTCAAGACTTCCCAGGCTTAGTGAGAGAGGGTTATAATTGATAAACAATGTCTGCAGTCAGTGCTGGAAGGAATATTGGTAGCCAATACTGAAGGCCAAAAAATAAGCACAGCTACCTGTCATGCAGTAGGTGAAAAAGAACACTTAGGCTTCCCTTCCTGTGATCTCAGGGTGATAAGGAAGGTTGGTAAAAGAATACTATATACCAAGAGGAAACACTAAGCTGGTAGCTTTGAGTCCTGTTATTCAAGGTAGGTTTAGAAGGTATATGAAGCTGAAAGTATTTTTGATTAATAAAATTTTTTAGAAGTTTTAGTTTTACAAAAGAAAATTGAACCAATAGTACAAATAGTTCCCATATATCCCTATTCCCCTACACATTTTCCCTCAATATTAACATCTTGGGTGGTATTAGTACATGGTATTAACATCTTGTATTAGTGTGGTACACTTGCTACAATTAATGAATCAATATTGTTCATTATTATTAAATAAAGACTATAGTTTATATTAAGGTTCACTGTGTTATACAGTTCTATGGATTTTGGCATTTGATACTATTATCCATTTGATACTATTATCTACTATAATAGTATCAAATGAAATAGTTTCACTACCCTAAAATTTCTCTGTGCTTCATCTATTTATATCTTTTCTCCAAACCAATCTCATCCTAATACCCTGGTGACCACTGACCTTTTTTCATATCTTCAGAATTTTCTTTTCCAATGCCAGAAATTGAACCCAGGGCCTTGTGCATATTAGGTAAGTATTCTACCACTGAACTATAACCCTAGCCCAACTGTATCTAAAAGTGTGCCTTTTCCAGAAAATCATATAGTTGGGATTGCATACTAGGTAGATTTTTCATACAACGTCTTCACTTAAGAATACACCTGTAAGGTTCCTCCATGCTTTTTCACGTTTTGATAGCTTTTAATTTTTTCACTGCCAAATGATATTCCATTGTATGAATGCATTGAATTTTGTTTATCCACTTACCTATTAGTATCATCTTGATTGTTTACAGTTTCTGGCAATTAAATGATCCATTTCTCTTTTAATTAATTTATTAATCTATTTATTTTTTTGCTACTGGGGATGGATCCCAGAAATGCTGTTCTATCACTGGGGTACATCCCTGGCCATTTTTATTTTCATCTTAAGATAGCATCTTACCAAGTTGCTTCTTTCCGGGAATTGGTCCATTTCATCTAAGTTACCAAATTTGTGGGCATAGAGTTATTCATAGTATTTCTTTATTATCTTTTTAATTTTCATGAGATCTATTGTGATGGTGTCTCTTTCATTTCTGATATTAGTAATTTGCATCTTTCCTCTTTTTGTCTTGATTAGCCTGGTTATAGATTTATCAATTTTATTAATCTTTTCAAAGAGACAGTTTCTAATTTTGTTGATATTCTTTATTGTTTTCCTATTCTCAATTCCATTGATTTCTCCTGTAGTTTTTACTACCTTTTTTGGCAGGGGGTATTGAACCAAGGAGCACTTTACCACTGAACTAGATCCCCAATCATATATTTTTTTTTTTTAAATTTGAGACAGGATCTTGCTAAGTTGCTTAGGGTCTGGCTAAGTTGCTAAGGATGGCCTTGAACTTGAGATCTTTCTGCCTCAGCCTCCTGAGTCACTGGGGTTACAGGCATGAGCTACTGCACCCAGCAGTTCTTATTATTTCTTTTCTTTTGCTAGCAATAGGCTTGTATTGCTTTTATTTCTCTAGTTTCCTAAGGTGAAAGCTTAGATTACTGTTTAGGTTTTTCTTCTTTTCTAATAATACACATTCAGTGCTATAAATTTCCCTATAAGCACTGCATTTTGCTGTATCCAAAAATTTTGATGGGTTATATTTTCATTTCACTTCAAGATATTTTTTAAAATGTTTAATTTCTCTTCAGAGTTTTTTGATGCATGGGTTATTTAGAAGTATGTTTAACATCTAAATGTTTTGGCATTTTCTAGCTATGTTTCTGCTATTGATTTCTAGTTTAATTTCATTGTGGTCTGGAAGCAAGCTTTGTATGATTTATTTTCTTTTAAATTTGTTAGGATATGGTTTATGACCTAGAAAGTGGTCTATCTTGGCAAATGTTCCATGCAAGCTTGAGAAGAATTTCTATTCTGCTTGGTTGGATGAAGTATTTGATAAATGTCACTTATATCCAATTGATTGATGGTGTTCTCCAGTTCAACTGTCCTCACTGATTTTCTGCCAGCTGGATCTGCCAATTACTAATAAAAGAGTGTTAAAGTTTCCAACTATAATAATGGAGTTCTTTTTCTTCTTTCTGTTCAATCAGTTTTGCTTTACATTATTTTGATAATCTGTTGTTAAGGTGCGTACATGTTAAGGACTGTAATGTCTTCTTGGAGAATTGACCATTCTTTATCCCTAATCATTTTCTGAAATCTTTTTTGTCTGAAATTGGTACTTCAGTTATCATTTCATTTGTATCATTAAGGTATATCTTTCTCCATCCCTTCACCTTAAATGTATGTTTTTATATATAAAGTGAATTTAGAAATGATATAGTTGGGTCTTTTTAGATATACTCTGAAAGCCTTTACCTTTCAATTGATGTATTTAGACAATTCAAATTTAAAGTGACTGTTGATAAAGTTTGATTAATTTTATTGTGTTTGTGTGTTCTATTCATTATAATTTTTGGGGTTTTTTTTTTATATCTTCCCTCTTTTTTTCCTCCCTTCTTTGGTTTTGACTGAAAATTTTATATGAATCCATTTTTTTTCTTTACTTAGCATGTTAAATTATATTTTTAAAATATTTTTAGTGCTTTCCCTAGAGTTTTCAATATACATTCATAACTATCTAAATCTACTTTGTGTGTGGGGGGGATGGTAATGAGGATTGAACCCCAGGAGTGCTCAACCACTGAGTTATACCCCCATTTTTTTTTTAATTTTGAGAAAAGGTCTTCCTAAGTTCACAAGGTTGCCCTTGAACTTACAATCCTACTCCCTCAGCCTCCCAAGTAGTGGAATTATAGGCATGTGCCACCAGGTCAAGTTTAAGTCCACTTCCAAATAACATTATACTGCTTCATTAGTAGCACAGTTACCTTATAACAGAGCATTCTCAATTACAACTTCCTTTCATCCACTATACTATTGCTGACATTTATTTCATTTTTGGTGTCACTCCTGACTCAGAGGCTGTGATTCTGCCCTTCTGGGGGAACAGGGATTTATAAAGAGGTGAATCAAAGGTTACATTCCACATGTTCTCTGTTGGAGTTGTAATTTACTTGTTAATTTGGGAGATGGTCATTTCTGAGATCTTCTGGTGTCATCCCCCAAATCTGAATCACTTCTTTCCTGTGGTGGGTTTGTGCTCAAAGACAGATAACTCTGCCTAGGATAAGGAAGAAAGGTAATCCTTTTCTCCCTGAGATTAGGAAGGGGGCAATATTAGGGAGGAAGAGGGAGAGAGCAAGATAGGGATTTAGGACAAAGAGAGAAATACTGAATCTTAAAGAAAACACCCACAAGTCATTTAGATGTAGAAAGCATAGTTATAAATCTTGAGCAACCCAATAGCTGGCCAATGCCCTTGTAAAACGAGGGAAATATGCAAGGTCAGGGAAAACTGGTGCAAAATTTTGCAGCTCCAGCCTGAATCCACCTCTAGACCAGCCCCTGAAACAGTCCTATAAATATTGGACCCCCAGCCCAAGTCAGGGCTGCTTCTCACTCTCCAGATAGCCCACATTCTCCCTTGAATGTGTGTCTGCCTTCCTAAATAAACGTGCCTATGCCTTTGTCTGGCTCAAGCTGAAATTCTTTTCCCTCTCTTCTGTGAGAGAAATACAAAGTCTGGTGGTTCATTTTCAAAATCTAGTATTCAGCCTTAATTGGATTCAATTGTAGCCCTTCTCTTTTGCCCACCTTAATTATAAAATTATAAAATTAGTCAATTGCATAGATTGTACCCACCCCCAAGTGCTTCCTATTGGGATTGAGGGGCAGTACCTCATTAGGGATGAATATTGGCAGACTGCCCACCCAGGTGTGCTTGCTCACCTTTGGAAGCACATTCTTCTGCAGAATTACATTTGCCTTGCCCACCCACTTCTGAGCTCATATTTGACTTCTTGCAGCACCTCGTTATTTCTCTTCTGGGAACTCCTCAGACCCTTCTTTGGAGACCTCTCTTCTTCTGTGACAAGAGGAAGAGAAAGAAATATATTCTTTTAAAAAATAAATCTCAGAGGCAGAGCAGCAAGGACTATATTCAAAGCATAAAATGTACCACTGTTACAATCAGAACAGAAGCAATAGGCTTTCAGCATAAGGTTTTATGTTACTATGGCTAAAAGCTAGTCTGTATTTAATGTTCATTACAACGATATGTGCCAAAGATTCCATTTTTCTTTGGTTTCCACATATTCCCTGCTTCTATGTTGTTTTTAAATTTTCCTAAGAACTCCTTCTTAAATAGTTGTAATCCACTATTATACTGGAGTTCTGATGGTGTGGTGCTAAGATTTTGAGGAGGGGAAGCATTTTATAATCTTAGAATTAAATATTGGGATTTTTTTAGTGGACTTGAGCTGTGACCAACAGAACTTCTCAGCCTTTCCCCCTATTATGTGATACAGGAAGGCTAGAGGGAGACTAGCATTGTCTACTTGCCCTTCCTTTTGGTAAGATAGGTTCTTGTAAAATAGTTTACCTTGAGGTTAAATCTTGTTACAGAGAATAGAACACTCTGGGCTTATTTCAAAATGATTACTTCTCTTTTCTCACTTTTTAAAGCAGAGAAGATATTCACCCCTGGTGGGGCTCCTGGAGATAAAACCCCCAAAGTGTGAGGGGCCTCTCTAAAATTGGGCTACCACTAGTTTTAACTATCAAGTTAGTTTAAACTCAGCTTTTAGCAATTCATCAATCACCGTTTAATTGTTCTCTCCATTTACTGTCTCCAGAGGTCTCTGCTCTTGTCTATATTCTTCTCTAAACTACTTATTCTCTATACTTAGATGCCTCCCTAGTTTTCAGGATGGCAATTTGCACTGTGACCTCAATCTATGGTTGATTTAAGAAAAGTGGTTCATTTTCAGTTTGTTTGGCTTCTTCTTGTTGTGAGAACAAGAACGATAATTTAAAAGCTTTTTACATGTCTAAGATAATCAGGAGGCATGACGTATATGACTACAGGCAGGGGTGCTGAAATCCAAGTGTAATTAGCCTATGGCCCATGAGAATCATGCATATTGATTACTGCCAACACTCACTGACTCCTTCATAAAACCAACTTTTCAGCTAAAACTACATTCTACAAATACAGTATTTTACTGAGGTGTTGGCCTAATTAAGTACAATTCTCAAAAGAAAGAGATCTTTTAGTGAAATTCTACTTTATGATTTGAATCAGATTTTTTTCCACTTTGACTAATCCCAATGGCTTTTTCAGTGGCAGAATGAGTTTCTTGCAAAATTTGAGCATTGCAGCTGTTAGGTTTTGTTGTTGTTGTTGTTGTTTGTTTGGGGTACCAGGGATTGAATCCTGGACTCTTTACCAAGAAGCCACATTCCCCGCCATTTTTATTTACTTATTTATATTTTGAGACAGGGTCTTACTAAGTTGCTTAGGGCCTTGCTAAATTGCTAAGGCTGGCTTTGAACTAGTAATTGTCCTGCCTCAGCCTCCCAAGTCACTGGGATTATAGGCATGCACCACCATGCCCAGCTACTTGTTAGTTCTTAAGTATGATCATTCCAGAACATGCTTTCTGTCTTATTAAAAGTTGACCTCCACTCACTTTATGAGTTTTTGGTTCCTTGCATATGAATTAGAAATGTGTTATAAGTTACAACCCATGAGACCTACTAATTAATAAGACTCTGTCCTAAGACAAGTGGGCAGTGGACTAAAGACAAGAATTACAACTTTTTATTCATGTATCTAAATCTATAATTATATCTTTCTATATTATGCCAGTTTTGTTGTGATCCATCTCTACATTACCATTAGTAGTCTTACTGGTGAGATGATATAGAGAAAATAAAAGAACATCGTTATTTTCAATTTTCTTCTTCCTGTAATCCAGTGGTTCTCAATTGGTGGCAATTTTATCCCTGAATGACATTTGGAAAAATCTGAGACATTTCTAGTTGTCATAACTGGAGAGTAGACTGTTACTGGTGTCTTGCACGTCTCTGCCAGGGATGCTGCTAAACTTCCTCCAATGCATGAAAACATAAAGGATTATTCACAAGAGGGAATAAATTTATCTGTAGCTGGAGCTGTAAGTCAGTGGTAGAGCTCAGGCCTTGCATATGTAAGGCCCTGAGTTCAATCCTGAGTACTGAAAAATAATCTAATCTAAAGTGTCTATAGGGCTAAGGTGAAGAAACCCTGTTATAATCTAAGAAATTAGCCACCCTGGTCTACCTCCTAGGCTATATACCAGAATCCTAATGATCTCATTCTCATATCTTTATAAACTTTTACCTTACAAAGATAAACTTTATTTCTGGACTATTTTTAATATGATGCATCATTTTTATATCTTGCCTCACAAAACTTAAAGGTCAGTGATTCATAGTATCAGCTGTTTTACGAGAGGCCTACAGGTGCTAGGGTCCTAAGAGTTAGACACCCTTACAAAATTAGTCTTTCTAGTGTGTAAGTTTTACAAGTAAAATTAGTAATATCACAAGGTAACTCCAAATTGAGGGTACAGATAAACTTTAGAAACAAACTTGGTAGAGGGATAAGAAACAGTATTTTTTGAGCTATGGAGCTGCAGATGTGGTTTACAGATGTTCTCTCACTTAATACTTATAGCAACCTCACCATACAACCTTGTTCCTGTCAAATAAAGCAGCCAAGAAGAGAACAGGATGATACGTTAAAGATAGTTTTACCCCTTCCTATTAATAACTTAACTATGTGCCTTGTAAAAATTTATAAGCTTCAAAATGTCTATAGAGGAACATAAAAGTCACTCACTATTCCACTCCCAGAGATAACTGTGTATTTCTTTCTTTTTCAGCATTGGGGATTGAACATAGGATCACTATTACCACTGAGCCACATCCCAAGCCCTGCAGTTTTCATTCCTAATAAAAATAATATAGAAGTGGCAGTGTGTTTTGTGTGTGTATGCATGTGTGTGTGATTCTTGATTGTTTTTAAATACCAAAATAGTAACTTTTGTATCACTCTCAGGATTTCCAAACATATTACATAAAAAAATTGCTATTGGTACTCATGATATGTATATATACACCCACACATATACACCATATATTACACGATATATCACATTATATAATATTATATAGTACTTCTAATATATCCAGACATAACATTTAAGAGCACAGACATGTAAAATGTGGAATTAATTTTAGAACTCATCTAAATCCTGTCTGAAGAGAAGCTATAAGACTACTAAAGTTTCCCCCATGGATACTGAGAGGTCATTGTTTTCTGTTATCCAGGAAGATGGAAGAAAAGTGGAGTTGCAAAGAGAAATAAAGAAATATTAATAAGAAACCACGTGGAATATGAAAAATAGCCTTAATTATTGTGTCTGCTTCTGCTAAGTTTCAGGGTAATCTAAAGGGAACAGTCATCAGATTGTAGTCACATGTTCCTTTGTTCTTCAAGAATTGTCATAAAATTGGATCCCACACTACAGATCTAAAAAGAAGGGATACAGGGTGCCACTTCTCTGACATTTTAGAATTAGTAGTTGAGAATCTAAGTAATCTAATTGTGATTACTGATAGAAGTTTAAGTCACCACAGAAAAACACAATAAGAAATTTATATGGTAAGTAAAAGATTTGCTTCAGCAAATGTGTGTGTGTGTGTGTCATACACATAATTCAGTGATTTTATGTCAGTATCTTTTTGCTAGATCTATTAATATATTCTATTATTTAAATATATTCAGTAATTATATAATAGTAATTATTTAATAATTATTTTTTCAGCAAATTTTTAAACTGTGGACCTGTTGAGATTGTATAAAGCCCTAGTTAGCATTAATATTATATTAACTAATTTGTAATGTACTTAACCATTTTTCATTAAGTATAATAATTTATAAAAGTAATATATTTTAGGCATATGTTGAGCAAGCTCACATTCTTTTATCCACAAAAGTTACATCAAATTTATGAGAAATCAAAAGATTGAGTTGCCACTATTCAATAGTGCTTTTCCTTGTTCACGTATTTCTTAATTCAACAGCATATCCCAGTAAATGCTGCCCTTTAACAGATAAATGGATAAAGAAAGTGTGGTACATATATACAATGAAATATTACTCAGCTATAAAGAAGAATGAAATTATGTCAATTGCCAGTAAATGAATGGAACTGGAGATTATCATGTTAAGTGAAATAAACCAGCCCCCAGATAACAGGAAAAAACCAAAAGGCCTAATGTTCTCTCTGATATGTGAATGCTAACACACAATAAGAGGGGTATTTGGAAGAATAGAAGTTCATTGGATTAGACAAAGGGGAAGGGAATAGGAAAGACAGTAGAATGAATTGGACATAACTTTTCTTATGTTCATGTATGAATACATGACCAGTGTAACTACACATTTTGTACAACCACCAAAATGGGAACTTATATTCCATGTATATATGATATGTCAAAATACATTCTACTATCATGTATAACTAAAAAGAACTAATTAAAAAAATTTTAAAAGAATCATCATTTGAAGAAGGGGGGATGTCTTTGTTCTGACTCCAAAAACTAAATAACTGACTCTTCTAAAATAAATGCCCTGTTGTGTAACATTTGTCAACTTCTGTAATGTTAATACTCTCATTCTGGACAATTTCAAGGTCACTGAACACTGATTTGCAAAGAAATACCAATAATCAGTTCTTATTAGATTTAAGGACAGGCTTGAGCACTCCAATTCATGTAACCAAGAAACAAAGGAATGTTTAGAGAAGTTCATATGCTTAGAATGTTCACATTATATAAGGTAAGGGTAAAGACAGGGGCTGAGGCTGGTGAGGTGGAAGAAGTCAGAGCATGAAGAATCTTGAATGACTATCCAGGAGATTTGGTAACCATTGGATTTGGCAGGTATTAAGGTAAGAAATGATAGTACCTCTCATCATTGTAGTGACCAAAGTATTTTAAAGGAATTCAGGGAAGAGATGATGTTGTCCCAAATTA